CTAACCCCCCCTCCCCGCCCCCAAGAGCACAGAGGACGCTCAGCACTTCTCAGCCACAGCTCCTTGCAAGAGCCAAGAAGGCCCAGCTGACAGCCCAGACTGGCTCCCAGTTGGCTGCGGGCTGGTTCTGACTGTTCCCTGTGTGTATCTATCAGGACTAGAAGCTGGGAGGCCGGGGTAAGTCTTTGCTTTTCTTGGATCCTCAAACCATCTGGCCGATGGGAAAATCTCTAAGGCACAGTTTGCCTGTGAGATTCTGAGTGAGTAGGTGTGGGGTGGGGGGAACAGGAATTTATTTAGAGGGTTGTGTCTCTTTAATTTCTCTTCTTAAATTTGAGTACAGACACTCCATTAAACTAAACCCCTTCCTCCTCCCCCAATACTCCCTTAACTCAATTCTTATCAGATCCTCACAACACCCAAAGGTACAGCCGGTGGGGTTCTTAGGCACTAGGCGAACTTTGACATGTAGCTACCTCCCAGATCTCGTAAAGACACTTCCATCGCCCCAGAAAGTTCCCTCCCGCACTTCCCAGTCTCTATCCGTCCTGGGAAACACTTAGGAATAAGGCTTTGTCCCCAATCATACCAAGTGATGTTTGTGCTCCGGTACGTTTGGGGACATCTGCTCAGAGGACCCTCCCCAGCCCAGACATTCCAGATAGTGATCTCTGGCCCGGGGCTCCCCCTGACCCCACCGGACACTCTGGAAGCACGAGTTGACACTCGCTGGGTCTCAGATGGAGTTATTAGGCTGGCTGGGGGTGAAGCTTTATAGGGGGGCCCAGGACCAGGCCCTGGGGTGGAGAGGGAGGGAGTGTGCCTGTGGTGGAGGGAGCCTGCTGCAGGGGTAGCTCCTCAGCGGTCCCTGTGCAGGGGTTGGCTCAGCACTGTTCATCTCTGTGGCCCTGGGTTACCTTCACTTCAGTCCCTCACCTGAGAAGAGGGACCGCTGTACCTAGCCCTCTCTCCAGGTGGTTAGTGAGGGTTCAGCCAAGGTCAGCGATGTCATAGGTGCTTTCCGCAGCGGGAGAGGGATGCTCAGAGGTGCAGGGACCCACCTTAGCATCCCACAGGCGGGAAGGGATGGAGCGGGGCCTGGACCACTTCTACTGGCTGTGATGCTTGACCGAATGACTCCACTGATAAGCCCCAGTGTCCCCATAGGTCAGTGAGGCTAATACGCCCCACCCTGCCTTTTATCACCAGGATGTTGTGAGGACCTGAAGCAATTCAGGTTAAGGCAGTGGTCGGCAAACTCATTAGTCAACAGAGCCAAATATCAACAGTACAACGATTGAAGTTTCTTTTGAGAGCCAAATTTTTTAAACTTAAACTATATAGGTAGGTACATTGTTATTAACTTAATTAGGGTTAATAATTAAGTTATTAATTATTAACTATAGGGTAGTCCTAAGGCTTAGGAAGACCCACACTCAAGGGGCCAAAGAGCCGCAGTTTGCCGACCACGAGGTTAAGGGATTATCGAGAAAGAAAAAGGTTTGATTGAGTAATGTCACTGGTTTTCCTGTTTCCATGGTGACTACAGCAGCCTTTCTGGGGCCAGAAAGAGAGGACCTCCCTTGGCACTGGCAGGGTAAAAGCACCTCCCCGATGCTGGGTACTTTGTACCATGGGGCCTGCGGTGCCCGAGGAGGCAGGAAGCGCGGGCTTTCCTTCCGGGCTCTGCCTGTGGCAAACGGCTTCCCTTCTCTGAGCCTCAGTGTCTGAGTCTGTAACATGGGAACCGTACTCACCATCCCGACTTCATGAGATGTTGTGGGAACCCAAGAGAAAATGAAAACGGGGGAGGGCGCACTTCAGACCCCTCCGGGCTGGCGGCGCGCGCCGCTCAGCGACCTCCAGCCTGTCTCTTGGGTGGCCACTGGCTTTGGACCGACACCTGCCAGGGACCTGACAGCCTCGCCGCTCCCCTGCGAGGCCGGTGCCGGCCCAGTTCCCAGGCAGTGCAGACAGGGGTCCCCTTCCCGCTGCTGTTTTTACCCCACAAGGTGCCGGCACAGCGCTGGTGCACAGTAGGTGCTTGTCTACCCTGGCTGGTCAGGACCGTCCCAGGGGACAGAGACGGTGTCTGCCCTCTTCCCTCTGAGCCCTAGTACCTAGGACAGAGCTGGGAAGACCGCAGGTGCTCAGTCAATGTGTGGGAATGAAGAATGAGTGAGCAGCAGCCGTGTGCAAGGACTGGGCTGGGGGAGGGGAGCTTTGTGGGCTAGTCCCCTCCCATTTCATCCCTCCTGGGCTAATCCCTGAAGATTAACCTGGGGACAAAGCCAGGTCACACTGGCCACCGACCCAGGGCTTTGGCGTGAGCGTCCAAGGCAAGTGTGGCCAGGCGTGTATAGGGTTGGAGGCTACTCCTAACGACCCTCTTCACCTCAAGATGGCCCTCCTGACCCCCACCCTGGACATGGTCCTCACAGGGGTCCTCAGCGTCCTCCTCCTGGCGCTGGCCTTGGTCCTGCTCTGCTTCTTCACCTGCCGCCTGGCCAGGCCGCTCAGGTAGGAGAGCTCACCTGGCCCCACTCCGCTGCCAGCTTCCTGCCTAAACTCCTTTCGCTTCTGTTTGCGCTGGCGGGGTAGGGAGAGGGCGGGCACTAGCCTCCCTCCCTCTCTGAGGTGGGGAAACTGAGGCCCAGAGAAGTTGGGTTGCACTTGGCTGTGGACAAGCTTCGCTCACTTTCCTAAATATTAAAATGGGGGGGCGGGGAGGGGGAGGGAAGGGGCTAACAACACTCGGGAAGATGAAGTGAGATCACAGATCACAGCACAGGCTGGGTGGGTACAGGAGTGCCCGAGAAGCGGTAGTGATTTTTATCCGTTCTATTATTCTGTCATTTGTCCTGGGCCTTTTGAGACCCAGCCCAGGGCTGGCTTTTTGCCCAAATCCCGGGGCTCCCGCGCCTTCTGCCCCAGGATGCTGACTCAGGGCCAAGGCCAGCCCCTTGCTCCCTCCCCTGACCTGCCAAGTAGCTGCTCCTTCTCCCGGGCTCTGCCAGGGCTTCTGCACACTTGTCATGAATAATCAGGGCACGTAGCCGGGAGCCTGGCAGAGACGGACCGGCTGGGAGTGGGGGTGATGGGGTTGGCGCACACTCGGATGGTCCATTCTGAGCTGGCAGAGCATTGGCAGAGGGTGGTGGGCAGCCGGGGCCCCCGCAGCCCCAGACTGGGCCCCATGGGGCCCATCACCCAGGGCTGCCAGATTGCAGACTTGGAGCCTCTGAGTGGGGGTGGGGGTGAGAAAGGGGAGCCAGCAGGGGAGACTGGCTTCCTGGATTCCCACCCCGTCTCCTTTCCAAGCAGAGGCAATGGGGGAAGGCACCTGTCCGTTTCCAGGACAAGCCCATCTCAATGTCCCATCCAGAACATCCCAGCCATTACCCTGGGGGTCTTTCACTCAGTCCGCATTCACAGAGCTGTGCGTGGGGTTAGAGATTCGGAGCTGGATTCGATGGTCTGTATGTCACAAAGCTGTCAGTGCGACAGAGAAGAGAGACAAACAAGTACGACCGTTAGCAGCTGGATGAGCCTTCAGATCTCCTGGGGCCACCCTTCTCTTCTCCTTTTCCGTATCAATTGTTTACTTTGGACGCTTGGTGCAGAGAGACTCGAGTAAGTCATATCTCAGTGTATAGTGGACTGTCATGAGCTCAGTTCTTGTTTATTCATTTCCCTCTTCACTCCTGCTCCCCGCTCCCCACAACTCCCCCAGGCCCTCATGTTCATGTGTTAAACATGGCCCGGAATGTGAAAGTGCCCTTGGAAATCATGCTGATTTCTGTATGAGGGCGTGGCTTACATTTATACACAGGAAAATGCATCTCATTCTTTGCACCCTTCACTCCATCCTGTGTGCGAAGTCACACGACACCACTGTTTTGACTTCTGGTTTTAATGCCACAGAGATAGTGCCACTGCCGCCACCCTTTATTAATTAATTCCCTAGTTATAGGCAGAGAGGTCGCCCCAAATCCTGATAAGCCATGCCGACTGTTTTTCCAGGAAGCATGATGGTTTCTGTAGGTGTGGGGTATAAAGTCTTCGTCAGGTTAACGGAATTCTTTTCAGTTCCTGGTTTTCTGAGAGCTTTTATCGTCTCGTTATCTCTGTCTCCATTCCCTCCTCCTACATGATCTCATCATGTTTTATCAAGGCTTGACTGTCACCTCTATGCCCCGGTTCCTCAAGTGTCTACCTCTAGCCAAGACCGCTCTCCCAAATGCCAGATGTGTATATCCAACTTGACATTGTCCACTCGACATCTTCACTAAAAGACATCTCAAACGCTACATGTTCCTCATCTTCCCACCAAATCTCCTCTGCCTCACACCTCAAAACACCACCCCAAGTGCAGAAAGACTGAATGCTTTTCCCCTCAGAGCAGGAACAAGGCAAGGATGTCCACTCTTGTCTCCCCGGTTTAACATGGTGCGGTAAGTCCTCGCCAGAGCGATGAGGCAAGAAAAGCAATAAAAGGCACACCAGTGGAAAGGAAGAACTAAAAGTCCTGTTTGTCAACGACATGATTCCCTCCATAGAAGATGGCAAGGAACCCACGAAACTCCTAGAACTAATAAGTGAATTTAGCGAGGTCACAGGACACAAGGTCAAAACATAAAAATCAGTTGTATTTCTATGTACCTACTAGCAATGAACAAGTTAAAACAATGATACGATCACAGCGCCCCCATAAGTGAAACACAGTGGTATAAATCTAACAAAACACATACAAGTTCTGTATGCCGAAGACTGCAAAGGAAGAAACGCATGGAGAAGCATACTATATCTGATTGGGAGACCGAACATTGCAAAGGTGTAAACCCTCCCCAGACTGGTCTACAGAGTTAATACAATACCAATCAACCAACAGTGATGGAGAACAGATCTGGGGATGCCAGGTTTAGGGATGAGGGGTGCTTCTGTGACTACAATGAGACAATAGGAGAGAGTTTTTTTTGAGTGGTAGAACCGTCTATATCCTGATGTGGAGGTCACACAAATCTATACATGTGTGAAGCCTCCGTCTTTTCATCCCACAGTTGGGGAACCAGACCCTCCCCCTCCCCCTTGGGCAGGTGGCCAGTGATAACCTTGCTAATTCTGGAACCAGCAGCTCTGTAGCAGGGTTACCTGCTGCCTACTCTGCCACCTGCCTGTTTGTAATTTTGGGGAAGTCACATCTTTCAGAACCTTGGTTTTTCTCATCTACAAAGATCGTAAGTCCCTCTCTGGCCACTGTATAGGTCATCGGTGAGAAATCATGGTGAAAGACTTCGTGACCAGTGAACTGCGTGCGGTATGCAGGCCTTTTCCACCTTGTCTGTGTCCTTTATAGATTGTTTATATACGTTCCCAGCGAGTAGTGTTTTTATATTATTGAGGTATAACATACCTCCTCAGGTGTCCATATCATAAACGGACAGCTTACTGTGTTTGCAGCTGATCCCACACAGTTAACCAGCTCCCAGGTCAGTCAACAGAACAGCACTCACAGTCCGCTGTGTCCCCTTTAATCTCCACCCGCCCCCACCAGGGTAGCCTTTTATCTCGTCTTCTAACACCCTGGGTTCGTTTTTATACTTTGCATCATTGGAATCCCACCATATGTATTCTGGGTCTGCTTCCTCCTCTCGCCCTCTCCTTCCCCAGATCCATCCATGTTGTCAGGGGAGTTGTCGGTTGCTTGTTCTCATTATTTTGTGTCATTTCCGTCTTGTGAGCCCACACAACGTGTTTATCATCCAGCTGAAGGCGGACGCAGTTTTGAGGTCATTGGGAGCAGGGCTGACATGAACGTTCTTCTACGTGTCTCTTAGTGAACACACGTGCTCATTTCTCTCGGGGGGCATGTGGGTAGGGGTCAGCTCTGGTAGAAGCTGCCCATTTTCCAAAGTGGTTGTACCAACCTGCACTCCAGCAGCAGTGAACGGATGGTTGGGGAGTTCCACAGTCCTTCGGGACCCGCCAAAGTCCACACTGGACTTTTCTGCACACACACAGGAAGGATTTGGGGTGATTCTTTCCTTTCCCCTCCCCTCCCGCCTGGGAGCACTGGCTTCCAACTGATGTAAAGAGTTCCTGTGCCAACCACTGGAGCACAGACAAACCAGGCCAAGTCCCTAGAACAGTGGTCGGCAAACCGCGGCTCGCGAGCCACATGCGGCTCTTTGGCCCCTTGTGTGTGGCTCTTCCACAAAACACCACGTGCGGGTGTGCACATACAGTGTGACTGAAACTTTGTGGCCCATCTGCAGAAGTCAGTATTTTGTGGAAGAGCCAGTTTAAAACTATTTTGAATAATAATTTACGGCATCGATGTTATATATTAATTTACTAACATTTTTTATGATGTTAGGATTTACTCTAGAAATGTTTAGAAACTACTGTAGAATAGAAATAATTATAAAACACCCGAAACCTCACCATTCCCTGCTGAGT